AGGTTCCATCTCACCTTAGTGAGACTGGATATCATCAAGAAAACAAGTCGAGCACTGGTGGCTATGCCTACAATCCTAGCTACTTTGGGAAGCCGAGATCAGGAGGACGATGGTTTGAGATACCCTATCTTCAAAATAACTAAGCAAAACGAACAGAAGTTGTGGCTCAAGCAGTAGAGTGCCTGCTTTGCAAATGTGAAGTCCTGAGTTCAAACTACAGTCCCACCAAAAAATAAAAATAAAGAACAAGGGTGGACAGGGTGAATTCAAGTAAGATATATTTGATACATTGTAAGAACTTCTGTGAATACCATAATGGGCCCCCACCCAACACAACAATTAAAAAAAAAAAAGAAAACAAACAACAAATACTGACAAGGATGGGGAAGGAAAGAAAGAACCCTTACATTCTTGGAGGGAATGTAAATTCATATAGCCACTATGGAAATCAAAATGGAGGTTCCTCCACTCCTATTCAACATAGTACTGTAATTCCTAGCCAGAGCAATTAGGCAAGAAGAAGGAATAAAAGGAATACAAATAGGTAAAGAAACTGTCAAAATATCCCTATTTGCAGATGACACGATCCTATACCTTAAAGACCCAAAAAACTCTACTCAGAAGCTTCTAGACATCATCAATAGCTATCGCAAGGTAGCAGGATATAAAATCAACATAGAAAAATCATTAGCATTTCTATACACTAACAACGAGCAAACTAAAAAGAATGTATGAAAACAATTGCATTTACAATAGCCTCAAAAAAAATCAAATACCTAGGTGTACACCTAACAAAAGATGTGAATGACCTCTACAAGGAAAACTATACACTTCTGAAGAAAGAGATTGAGGAAGACTATAAAAAGTGGAGAGATCTCCCATGCTCATGGATTGGTAGAATCAGCATAGTAAAAACGTCGATACTCCCAAAAGTAATCTACATGTTTAATGCAATTCCCATCAAAATTCCAATGACATTCATTAAAGAGAGCGAAAATCTACTGTGAAATTTATATGGAAACAAGGAAGCCACGAATAGCCAAGGCAATACTCAGTCAAAAGAACAATGCAGGAGGTATCACAATACCTGACTTCAAACTATATTACAAAGCAATAACAATAAAAACAGCATGATACTGGCACAAAAACAGACATGAAGACCAGTGGAACAGAATAGAGGATCCAGATATGAAGCCACACAACTATAACCAACTTGTCTTTGACAAAGGAGCTAAAAATATACGATGGAGAAATAGCAGCCTCTTCAACAAAAACTGCTGGGAAAACTGGTTAGCAGTCTGCAAAACACTGAAATGAGATCCATGTATATCACCCTATACCAAGATTAACTCAAAATGGATCAAGGATCTTAATATCAGACCCCAAACTCTAAACTTGATACAGGAAAGAGTAGGAAATACTCTGGAGTTAGTAGGTATAGGTAAGAACTTTCTCAATGAAACCCCAGCAGCACAGCAACTAAGAGATAGCATAGATAAATGGGACCTCATAAAGCTAAAAAGCTTCTGTTCATCAAAAGAAATGGTCTCTAAACTGAAAAGAACACCCACAGAGTGGGAGAAAATATTTGCCAACTATACATCAGACAAAGGATTGATAACCAGAGTATACAGGGAACTTAAACAACTAAATTCTCCCAAAACTAATGAACCAATAAAGAAATGGGCAAGTGAACTAAACAGAACTTTCTCAAAAGAAGAAATTCAAATGGCCAAAAAACACATGAAAAAATGCTCACCATCTCTAGCAATAAAGGAAATGCAAATTAAAACCACACTAAGATTCCACCTCACCCCTGTTAGAATAGCCATCATCAGCACCACCACCACCAACAGGTGTTGGCGAGGATGGGGGAAGGGGGGGGAGAAAAGGAACCTTCTTACACTGTTGGTGGGAATGTAAACTAGTACAACCACTCTGGAAAAAAATTTGGAGGCTACTTAAAAAGCTAGACATTGATCTACTATTTGATCCAGCAATACCACTCTTGGGGATACACCCAAAAGACTGTGACACAGGTTACTCCAGAGGCACCTGCACACCCATGTTTACTGTGGCACTTTTCACAATAGCCAAGTTATGGAAACAGCCAAGATGCCCTACCACCGACGAATGGATTAAGAAAATGTGGTAGCTATACACAATGGAATTTTATGCAGCCATGAAGAACGAAATGTTATCATTAGCTGGTAAATGGATGGAATTGGAGAACATCATTCTGAGTGAGGTTAGCCTGGCCCCAAAGACCAAAAATCGTATGTTCTCCCTCATATGTGGACATTAGATCAAGGGCAAACACGCAACAACGGGATTGGACTTTGAGCACATGATAAAAGTGAGAGCACACAAGGGAGGGGTGAGGATAGGTAAGACCTAAAAAATTAGCTAGCATTTGTTGCCCTTAACGCAGAGAAACTAAAGCAGATACCTTAAAAGCAACTGAGGCCAATAGGAAAAGGGGACCAGGAGCTAGAGAAAAGGTGAGATCAAAAAGAATTAACCTAGAAGGTAACACACACGCACAGGAAATTAATGTGAGTCAACTCCCTGTATAGCTATCCTTATCTCAACCAGCAAAAAACCCTTGTCCCTTCCTATTATGGCTTATACTCTCTCTACAACAAAATTAGAAATAAGGGCAAAATAGTTTCTGCTGGGTATTGAGGGGGTGGGGGGGAGATGGAGGGGTCGGAGTGGGTGGTAAGGGAGGGGGTGGGGGCAGGGGGGAGAAATGACCCAAGCCTTGTATGCACATATGAATAAAAAAAAAAAAATGGAGGTTCCTCAAAAGACTAAAAGTAGAACTGCCTATCCTGCTGCACCACTCCTGGGCATGTAGCTGAAGGAATGGAGTCAGCATACAAAAGAGGTACCTGCACACCCATGTTTATTGCAGTACTGTTCACAATAGCCAGGCTATGGAACCAGCCTTGTAGCGCACACTTGTAATCCCAGGTACTGGGGAGGTAGAGACAGGATGCTTGAGTCTTGGAGGCTGGCCCAGGCAAAGTTAGTGAGACTCTATCTCAAAAACAAAACAAAAAACAGAAGGGCTAGGGACATGGCTCAAATGGTAGAGCACTCGCAGTTTATGGCCCTGGGTTTAATCCCCAGTACAGACAGAAAAAAAAAAAAAGAAACTATGTCATTTGCAGGAACATGGATGGAAATGGAGATCATCATGTGAAGTAAAACAAGCAGACTAAGGATGACAAATGTCACGTTTTTCTCTCAAATGTGGAATCTAGATCTATGAATATAAATGACATGCATGAAACAGAGGGACTCTTTGGGGAGAACCAACGGGAGAGGTGAGGATTTCACAAAGGAGAGATCATAGTAAGTGATATGAAAATAGTGTAATAAAAACCATTAAAATGATTTAAAGGGGAAGAACACAGGGAAATAAAAGTAACAGAGGAGGTGAATGTGTTCAAAGTTCATTCCTACATATATGGAATATCATGATAAAAACCTTTTGTACAAGTAATATACACTAATTTAAAAAAAGAAAGAAAACCATTTGGCATTCTCTCTACCAGCTAAGAACAGAACTGCTAGCTGTTCTGCCAATATGTATACATCCAGGAGAAATGAAAACATGTCTACACGACAATGTCCAAAGCAGCACAAAAAGGTGTACACTCAAATGTCCATCAACTGATGACTGGATAAACAAACGTGTTCATACAATGAGTACTATTCAGCCATAAAAGGAGTAAGTACTGCGCGTGCAATAACATGGATGAATCATCGTCAGTAAAAGAAGCCAATTCCGGGAAGGTCACCTACTGCATGACTCCCTTGCATGAAGGTCCAAACAGAGTCAGAAAGTGTATTAGTGTCAGCAAGGGTTCAGGGACAGGGTGGATGGAGGTGATCACTTAATGAGTATGGGATTTCCATGGAGGGTGATGGAAATATTCTGGAACTGGATAGGGTGATGGGTGTTAAACATTGTGAGTGTACCTAATGCTACCAAGTTATTTGTTGTACTTACTTTCCTACAGTTTTTAAAAACGTACAAAGAAACAAGCTCCTACGTGGTCTTTGCACATGGCAGTTCCTCACCATGATTCAGTGGATCTCAGAGGCAGCAGACTTTTGCCCCGTCCACACACAGCCCTGTGGATTTCTTAGCATTCTCTAGCTCTTCCACGTAAGGATTAGCAGCTGTATTCCTTCCCCCTTTACGTTACTACCCACACCTGTGCTGGCATTTCCAAACAAGTCTTAAACTGCTTCAGGCAGCTTAAGCTTCAGCTTCTACATACCAGTCCATCAACACATGAAACAGTGGTGTAGAAAAGGTTGCTCCTCGCATTTAGGGTGGGAGGTGCCAGTTCGGAAATATTTCACTGGACTGGAAGACGATCACGAACACGAAATGGTATGGCGTTACGTCACTCTGAGATCATACACTGACTCTGTACGAGCGTTTCTCAACTTTGGCACTACTGACATTCAGGGTGTCATATAGTCCTTTGTCATGGGCTGTCCCCTGCACTGCAGGATATTTAGAAACATCCTGGTAGCATTCCCCAGTCATGACAACCAAAAATGCCTTAGACAATGTGCCGGGTGGTAAAATGCCCTCAGATGAGACCCACAGCTCCAGAGAAAATCCTGAACATCTTGTATGGTATTAACACAAAGAGGTGTGCCCTAGGGTCATAGGTTGCTTTGGGCCATGAGAAGAGAGAAGATAATGCAACCTAGACCGCCTGCAGGGCAACTTCATCAACACTGCCTAAACCAAGAAGGGCTGGAGTAGAGCAGCAAACACCGAGTGATAAAAATTAGCCACTGTGTTCTGCTTATTTAATTCCCTCGTGATGTTCCAGGACCAGGGCAGAAATGGTCCCTGCCATCTGCATTATGGACACCTATCATGTCTGTCCCTTGGGATAAAGGGAGCTATTTAGATATTGCCAGAGTTTCCACTTTAGGTGAGGAAAATAAAGAAAGGAACTGCCTACCTGAGTGTCCCGTTCTCTCCTTTGTCCAGGCTGGTGAACCGGCTGTAGAGGCGGGTGATCTGACTGTGGGAAACTAAAGAGCACAAAATCAATCCCAACCAGGCACACAGGCCTCCATTCACACTGCACCCGCCGCCCAGCATCCAGTGCTTCTTAGTGTGTAAGACCCAGAGCTGCTGCACCTCTGTCATCTCTGAAGTGTCAGAGCAGAAAGCTATGCAGTGGAAGGAGTTAGAAAGTAAATGAACCAAGAACAACCAAAATTCACTCTCAGGAATGATGTCTAGGCTTAATTAAGATGCGTTAGGGGAGCTGGAGGAGTGTCTCAAGTGGTAGCATGCCTGCCTAGGTGAGTCTCTGAGTTCAAATCCCAACACCACCAAAAAAAAAAAGTTTAAAGAATGTGTTAGGGGCTTAGGGGCTGGGGCTGCAGCTCAGCTGGAGAATGCCTGGTTAACATGAGCACGTAATGGGTTTAATTCCTGGCAACACACACACAAGTTCATTGTTACAGGGTTACGATTTAACAAAACAAATTCCATACAGAAGGGAACAGCGAGAATTTAACATTTCAACAGCCTGAGCTGGAGGTGATGAAATGCATGCTTTGACTGAAAACTCACACCTTAATCTGTTTGGTGTTTCAGGCTAGAATTACAGGGCAGGTGATATGTACTGAAGGAAGGACCAGGGCAGTGCAAACAGGCTGCATTTTGAAAATCTGGCTATTTCTACACTACACAGTAGCGGCTTTACCTCTTTCCTCAGGACTGACCTTTGGGTAAAAGATCATCAGAGCCTCGGACTGGCCTCTTTTCTGTGACTACATGAGTTCCACTGAGTTCGCAGGAGAGGAACTGGCTCCAAGGGAGCAAGTTAAGACACTTTACAAGGTGGTCATGTCATCATCAGATGACCTCTGCAAGAAAGTGTTGGGTCTGGAGACTCCAGTGGGTAGCCCATCCCCCCATGGAGAACACTATGATTCCTGCACCCTGAAGAGGAGATACAGGGTCTTATGGATCTGCCACAGGGCTGATGAGCAAAATGCTTTCAAGACTGTTTCCCATCCCCAATAAGGGGCAGACAGACCAGCTCATCTAAGACATCCTGTGAATCCTCGGCCAATGAGAAGAGCCCACCTAACCCTTACCCAAACCCAGACTTAAAACATCTACAAAAGCCCCAGCCTTCACCTGAGCAGGGAGCCACCAGCTTCCGGCTCCACCGCCCTGCTCTAGCTGTAGCCTTTCCTTTCTCTAATAAATCCTACTTCATGTACAAGCTTTGCTCACGAGTCAATCAGCTGCCTCAGGAGCCAGTTCTCTGGCCTGTGAAGACAAGGACCCTCGACACCAGCCCATGACATTTTACATCAGCATGTAACAAAAGCTATCTTGCTCCTCATGTTGGATGACTGACAATTTAAGTAAGGTGCTACCTGGCATTTCTGAGAAACAGATTAGACTCCTGGCAGGTGGGAGGTAACAGGAAACAAGGCAGTCATCACAGGAGAAAAAAGGGTGTGCCGAGTTCAGACTTTGTACCAGGCTACACCTTCCAGGGCATAAAAGGGTGGCTGAGGTAGTTTTGGTACTTGTCCTCCTCCCCAAGCTCAGGCAGCAAAACTTGACTGGCAGTGTTAGGAACAATGAGGCAAAGCAAACAGGGCAGGGGGGAGCAGGAAGTGAGTGGGTAGGGCTGGGCTGCAAGGACACCCAGGGAGGCTCTAACTTCTGAGTTAGGCACTTTGTTCTGCACCAGCACCTACACTGAGCAGAAAAGGGGAATGAATTCCTCCCATTCCCTGCAGAACCAGAAGGGTGCAGTGGCTAAGAGAAGCTGGTGTGTACCAGTCACCAGTCGGGCAGCTGTGAACTGCTCTCGTAGAGCACACACTTGTGAGGATCAGTTAGACATACTCCGATTCTATTCACAGCACCATGGGGGTAACGAGGGGGGCTGGGGGAGTTAATGAAAAGAAAGTGCTTGGCAAGGTGCCTGGCATTGGGTAAGTACTCCAGGTTAGCTATTAGCACCAGTTCATCACCCCTATGCCTGGAGCCTGAAGGTACAATTTTACTGCTATGCTAATTACTCTCCTCCAGACTCCACCAGTCAAAACCGCTTTCTGTAGGAACCTGACCAGTTTATCCTGACCTGGCCTCAGGTGTCGAAGGCTACTCTGGTAAAGTTCCCTTTACTTTAGCAAAAATAAGCCAGTTAAAGAATTACTACTAAGGTTCCCAAAAGATTTTTGAAAAAGCAAAATTTGTTCCCAGTCCCAATGTGCTGTTTTTTATTTTTTTCTTTTTCTTTTTGGCATGACTATATAGCCAGGCCGGCCTTGAACTCTCCATCCTTCTGGCTCACCCTCAGAGTGATCAGATTACAGGTGTGTCCCAGCTTGCTGTTATAATTCCTTTTTTTTTTTTTTTTTTTTAAGAGCAGGACTGGGGTTTGAACTCAGGGTTTGATATTTACAAAGCAGGCATCTACCACTTGAAGTCCACCTCCAGTCCATTTTTCCATTTTGGTTTGGGTTATTTTGGAGATGGGGATCTCAAGAACCATTTGCCAGGGCTGGCCTTGAATCTCGATCCTCCTGACCTCATCTCAGCCTCCCAAGTAGCGGGGATTACAGGCGTGAGCCACTGGCTGCCCACATGTTAAATTTCTTTATACACCATCTAATATCAGTCACTTGGATACTTTACATAGTCTTAATAGTTTACTTTTCATTTAGTTATTCATAATTTTTCTGCATTGCTTTGGAGTACATTTTAATAGCTGAAAAATATTTAGTTCTTAGTGTTGGGAGTCATAGTTTGGATAACTTTTAAGAAGGAAAACAAATTGTATTTTTATATTAGTTTTAATCCATTGACATGATGAAAATGCAAATGGAATTTTTAAAATACACAATGCAGTCTCCCCCAATACCCCAATTCCTCAGTCTCCCATGCCTAGGCAAACCTATTATACCAGTTTCTGTTGAATGCTCTAGAAATTTCTTACAGGTATATATAGAGATGTATACAATTTTAAAATTGGGAGGGATACTATGATGTAGTCCGGCCCCTTCTTAACAAATGAGCCATTAGACATCTTTCTTTCTTTCTGTACTGGGGTTTGAACTCAGGGCCTTCACCTTGAGCCACTCCACCAGCCTGTTTTTTGGTGATGGGTGTTTTCAAGATAGGGTCTCGCAAACTATTTGCCTGGGCTGGCTTCGAACCGCGAGCCTCCTGATTTCTGACCCCTAAATAGGCAGGATTACAGGTGTGAGCCATCAGCGCCAGCCCTAGACATCTTTCTAATCTAGCTCATCGTCTCAAAGGATGGGCATGGACAGCTCTCACAGTCTGACTTGCCAAACTGCAGTAGTTTCTAAACACTGGTACTACACTGGTTAAGTACCAGTGTAGCATTACACCCATATTTCAGGGGAAAAATCAGTTTACAGCTGTTCAAATTTACAATTTAACAATAGGTTCAAAATAAAAATGCACACAAGTAGCTAAAACAATTAAGAAACTGTTCTCTTTCATGATAAAACTGTTCTATGTGGAAATCAGTGGGGAAACATACAACCAAATGTCAACTTATTTTTTAGTAGCCAGAGAAGACCAAATATCAACATTTAACATTACTCAACATGGTCACAGCTAAACTATCTCCTAATTTCTAAACTAATGTTATGACATTGTTAAACAGTTTTGTTAACAAAAAGGAGAGAAAGCTTTAATCTAGGTGCTGAATCCACTGTGACTAAGTGAACATACGTACAGAGCTCAGAATAACCCAGTCTGCCTTTAAAGGTGCTGTGTAACCATGTGGAGAAATGTATTAGAAAGGCACTGCCTAGCCAGCATGAGGCCCTGAGTTCACACCTCAGTGCCACCAGGGGGGGAAAAAAAAGGAATGCCATGAATGAAGGCAGGACATGTTCTTAGTGAAACTGTTGTCACTGGAAGTAGCTAACTTCCCCAGCCCAAGTGCCCAAAACATAACAAACATTCTTGGAAACCCAAAGGAAGTCTCAGGACTTGACAGTTACCCTCTGAATAGTAGACAGATGTGAACAGTGGACAGATGTGCCTTGAATGAAGTGGAATTTTCTTCACTATTAGGCCAATAATTATTTTATATTGTTGAAAGATTTAAAAGATACTGCTAACTTTCCTGACTACAGCTTTCTCTCATCACCGCCTTGTGCTCAGAGTAGGAAGGCATCTTACATCAAGGTGGACTGGCAAAGAGAAGAAACCTGAAAGGGAGTAAGAAAGGTTATCCTGCCCTTGTTTTTCTCCTAATCTCAATGCAGAAGATAAGCTAGGTAAAGCATACAACCATGACCAAGAGTAGCTCTAGATAAGGATTATAAAGCAGAAGCTGTACCCTTAACCATTCCTCCTCAACATTTCACACCTCAACATTTCCCCAACATAAGCACTTCAAGTTCTGGCCTACTTGAAGAATTAAGAGACTTAAAAGGTGCTTTATAGAACAAACAAGCTGGGGACACAGCTCATTGATAAAGAGCTTGCCTAGCATGCTCAAGGCCCTGAGTTCGATTCCCAGCACTACAAAAATAAATAAATATACCAGGTGATGGTGGCTCACTCCTAGTTTCTTGGAAGGCTGAGATCAGGAGGATTAAGTTTGAGGCCAGCATGGGAAAACAGTTCACAAGACTCCATCTCCAAAATAACCACAGCAAAATGAACTACAGACATGGCTCAAGCAGTAGAGCATCTGCTTACAATCATGAAGCCTTGAATTCAAACCCCAGTCCCACTAAAAAATAAATGAATAAAATAAAAGCTATCTTCTTATAATTAGGCAAATTCAAATATGGACTGAATGGTAGGTAACATTATTGTCAACTTTTCTGTTGTGATAATAGTAATGGGGTTACGTAGGAAAAGTCTCTTTTCTCAGGAGACTCCTACAGAAGTCAATATTTAGGATCAAAGCATTGCAATGGGGGCAACTTTCAAACTGTTCATCAAAAAAATTATATATATATATGTATATAAAAAATTATATATATATATGTGTATATATATATATATATATATATATATATATACATATATATATATATGTCTTTGCTCCCACTTCTTGTGCAGGGAACAGGAAATATTTCTCTCTCTTTCTCTCCCTTCATACCATCACTACACCCTTTCAAACGAATTGCCACCAGCCTACACCTTGCCTCCTAGACCTGTTCACCATCCTCCCATAGTCACAAGATGGCTAAACATAAATCAGTCAATCAGCCCTCATCACGGTTTAGTGGGCATGAACTGTTTCTCGTAAAGATTTTAAGTAATTCACAGGCTGTTGCTACAGGTAAGTGAACCAGGGGTGGAGATGATAGAAACACCCAGGACATTGCGTGACCTTCCTCCTATTACATCTTTATTCGAATTGCTTTAAATTATAAAAACGGAGGCATGTGAAAGAAGATAGTAGAACAAAGACGATCTAGCAAACATTTTATACCCAAAGTGTGTCTAGAATGTTTCTTAAACTTAGCAATGCCAGGATTACTTTTTGGTTCTTTTTTTTTTTTTTTTTTTTTGGTACTGGGGCTTAAACACAGGGCCTACACCTTAAGCCACTCCACCAGCCCTTTTTGTGATGGTTTTTTTTCTGAGATAGGGTCTCTCAAACTATTTGCCAGGGCTGCCTTCAAACTGGGATCCTCCTGATCTTGTCTTCTGAATAACCAGGATTACAGGCGTGAGCCTCCAGCGCCAGGCTATTCTTTTAGTTTTACTTCCTCAGGATTGGCAAAACGTCTCTATTTGATCCCTAACCCAGTGCCTACTGAAAATAGGAAAAGTATAAAATGCTGTCACCTCCCCACTTATATAGCCCTAGGCACAATTTTCTTTTCTTCTTTCTTTCTGTCTTTTTTTTTTTGGTGATGGTGTCTTGCTATGTTCCCTAGGTTGGCCTGGAACTCCTAGGCTCAAGTGATCCTTAGCCTCTACAGTTAAGCCTAAGCACAGCCAAACGGTATTTCCCCAAAAAAGATTGTTATTTCTGTTTCAAAACAATCATAGTTAACATTTACACCAAACACTATTCTAAGTGTCATAATGCATTTTACTGATGAGCATCAGACTCCCATAAAGTAGGTACACTGTTGCTCCCATTTTACAGATGATGAAATCTAGGTAATTCTTGCTTAGAATTACTTTTCCAATATTTACCAGCTAAATTTCAAATACTATCTAAACTAATCATATATGAATCCTCATCAAGCTAAGTGTATGAAAAGTATTTAAACATAACCATCAATTACAATGCAATGCTTTCAACTTGAATATAAAGTCACTTTTCCTCAATGATGATACATTTTCTTACAGGGAAAGGAAGTAATAAAATGTCTTATACTTGTTCTTAAAGTGGTTCTAAATAATAGTTTCCTAAAGTCTTGTTCCTCAAACAAGAGGCAGATGAAAACTGTACAAATTTCACCTCTCTACCCCACCCTCCAATCTGTTGTTTTTTTTTTTTAATTTTTCTAAAGCCTTTGCACCATGCTAAAATTACTTCTTTAAAAAAAAACAACTGTCCCAGCTGGGCCTGGGGGTACACACCTATAATCCCAGCACTTGAGAGGTTGAGGCAGTAAGATCAAGTTTCAGGCTACATACACTGTCTTTAAAAAGGAAAAAATTAGTTCTGCTGATGGGCACTCCTACATAAACTGATGGCTCTATTCCTAGGAATGAATTTGTAGCAAACTGGGGGAGAGAGCACCTGTAAGCCACCCAAACTGCCCTAGGTTAATTTACCCAAACCTACTCTACTCATGCTTGCAGCAAGGCCCAATCCCTATCCTCCACAAAGCCAGCTCTCAAAGACTCTTTCTGAATGTCTAAAGGTGGGAGCTACCCAACTTCAAGCCTCCTTATTCGTGATGCTAACCATACTTCTGGGGCTTTTAACCAGATTGTGGGCGTCTTTTGTCACCATCTGTTCTGAGAACCTAGCATAATACTGAACGCAGACACTGTGAAAATTCAGTACGTACTTATGTCATCAGGCTTTCTGGCTCAATACCTGCACTTGCACTGGTTTTGGTGATAATCTTGCTCATTCTTGAGTCACTCTAGCAACCAGGAACACAGCTCTTCCATGAGTACTTAGCTGTATTTGTCCACAAGTCACAGAGTAAAATAACCCTGTATAACAGCAATCCAAGCCCTTCTCATTTGGTCAAATGTAAACAAACCAGAATGAGATAATTGCTCCCTTCATTCTGAGGCAAAAATAGTTTTTCCATCCTCTCTACAGCTTATACTTCCTCATTATACAACCGTTTTAAGCATAGTGCTTTAATTTGGGTATCACCCTAGGTTTAAAGAAGTCATTACATTTACAAGCGTGGCCACAGGACATAGCCAAAAAATGTAATAAAATGCTTGTTGAATCCAAACTGCCTGCAGTTCTACTCTTGAAGTCAGAGTTGTCATAAAATGACCATAAAGTAAAGTGACCAATCACATTCTGCAAATTATAAATAGCTGACCACTTTCTGTCATTCATTCAAAATTGTAAAAAGGATTGCCTTAGTTGGTGGTGAGGTTAATCGTGGTTAAAGGTCTTTATGGAGCAGCTAATGGCCATATGTTAGGGTCTGGTCAAGGAAGCAAACCCATCTGATAAGAGGTGGAGTAGATAATATCTCTTCCGACTTGAAGATTCTAGAAAGTTGAACTTGTCAGACTGTACAGGACAACTTTTAATTTACCCAAGACTACCTCCCCCTCAGCAATTCCCCCAGTACTGCTCAGTATTATCTGCCTACAGGCTTCTGTTGTACTTGCTGGTCCTATCATTATCAAAGACAGATATCATGAAGCCACAGAGCTTCATAACTCAACAAGAGTCCTGAAGGAACACCAAGAACAGAAAACACTGCATGTGCCAATACAATTCCACCATACACTGCATTACCAAGGGCTTTTCAAACACATGATCGTGTTTGCAGCACTTTTGAATTCTCAAAGCCCTCTTGCTCCTTTGTTCAGGTTAACGAGGAAGACACTGGACTATAAAAAAATCAGTTCCTAGTACAAGTCACAGAGCTTTTTGGAGTACATCCAGTTTTAATAGTGACTGCATAATGTCCACCAGCACAATAGAAATCAATATACATATGAAATTAGGACGGCAAGTATCCTAAAAAACTGGAGGTCACAGTTTCAGTGCTTTTTCTCCAAGTTCAGACTGAAAAGTCTCAGGCTGAGGACCCCTGATTGTTTAAAGGTCTCCGATCACTGGATCACGCCTTCCAAAGCCTTATTATATGGTCTTCCTTTCTGAGTTTACTTGTTCAGTTTGTGGCAAGAACGTGTTTGTGATTTCCACACAGTTATCAGTGGTTTTAGATCCTGATTAACAGGAACAGCTCATGTTTTCTATAGGATCCATTCAGAGTTCCCGAAGCTGCTTCTCGGGCTTTACCTACAGCTTGAGGATGCCTCTTCATAGGGGAAGATACAGGGGACTTTCATGGGTTTTGAAAAGTGGTGTCCGCGTTCTGTGAGTAATCAGGGCTCCGGCTTTTGCGAGAAAGGACAGCACCACGGGAGCCACAACCCAGCTCCAGGAATCTACAGTAGGACGAACAGGTCCTCCAGCCCTCGGTGCCCCGAAGTCACAGCACCAGAGGCTACCCAGGATCCCCCAAACCTCAGCACCCCGATCCCGACCTCAGCGACAATCGCCCCCAGTGCTGAAGCCAGCCGGAGACGCCGGGCCGCCTTCCCACCCCCAACCCCAACTCACAACCAGTCTCCTTTTTGATCTCCTCGAGCTCTTCGTCCCGCAGTAACGTGGAGGCCCGAGACCCCATCACCGTGCCAGGAGCTCCTCCAGCAGCAGCGGCACCAGAAGCGACGGCGGCAGGAGCGAGGGAGGGAGGGAAGGAAGGAAGGCAGGAAGGAAGGGACAGGGGTCAAGAAGGGAGAGGGCAGTGTTTTCTACTGCGGACCCGGGAGGGAACCCAGGGGTGGTGCGCGGGGGTGGGGGGGGGGTGGGCGGTCCCCAAGGCCAGCCAATCAGAAGCGAGGTTGCGCTCTGCGCCAGAGCCAACGTCGACGCTCGGAGTTCCAGCGCCAGCCAGAGTCCAGCTGGAGGCAGACCCCGCCCCCCGGAACCGCGGCTGCCACCGGTCTTAAAGGGGCGATGCCACTGTGGCGCTAGCGACCGCAATTTAAAACGGCAACTCCATCCACCCAACATTTCCCAACAAACTAAGGAGCGGCAGACAACGTAGCCCACAGGTTTTTCACAGGACTCTGATGCCAGGAGTCCCAGCCTTCAGGTAGCAAGGATTGCGGAGAGAAACAAAAAAACACAGACAAAACTTTGCGTGGGAAAAAATCTTTGGGTGTGTCCCCTGGAACTGTAGGTTCGCCGTCGTGCTTCGTCTCTCCTGAGCGCTCTCTCCGCCCGGGCGCAAGGGGGCGCTGGGGAGCCGGCGTCGGGGCCGCGCGCCGATTGGCCCCTCGGGAAACAGCGCCTCGAGGGTCGGCCCCGCCGGCGTGCGCTGTGCGGCTCCGGTGACCGGCGCTGCGAGCTTTCCTCCGTTTGCTTCACTGTTATGCTTTGTTAACCGCCGTCGAGTGGCTTGGAGCGCCCCGAGCCTCCGTCTTTAAACCGCAGTCCTTCTTTTAGTGTTAGGCTGAAGTTCAAGAACTCACCATTTGGCTGAAATTAAGGTCCTCATTTCCCAAACTTCCGTGGGGTGGGGGGAGTCCTCAAGGTGGAGGAGAGTGAATTTCTGGCGAAGGGATCGCCGTTTATTTGAAGCTTCTTATTTTGTATTTAAAATGAGTAATTCAGGCCAGGCGTGGTGGCGCATACCTGTTATCCCAGCACTGAGGAGGCTGAGGCAGGAGAATCGGGAGTTCGAGGCCAGTCTGGGCAACTTAGAACCAGTCTCCAAAAAAAAAAGAAAGAAAAAGAGGAATTTTGCATTTTATTCTTATGGCATAGTCTTGCTTGCTTTGATGAAAAGGTTGAAAGCCACCCGTTACATTACTATACACCAGTAATGTTCCTGTGGCTCCAAATCTCACCCGTTTGGACCCCGTTTAAGATAGGAAAGAACCAAATTGTGATCACTCTCACTTAATAATTAAATTAATAACTAGGGAAGTGACATAACAAGCTTCCCCAAATCAGTTAGGTGACCAGCTTGAATGTAAGATGAGATTCTAGTCTCACCCCCTTGCTTTCATGATTGACCCCTTTCCTCTTCTCTCTTGAGATTGGCCTTCATGTGCAGGTACCTACATTTTGGATTTGCCAGCCTAAGAAGCCAGGGGACGCGCTTTTTCCTGAAAATATGAATGTGGTAGGAAAATCTTGGTGTCAGAGGCATGAATGTCCACTTTTTGATTTGAAGCCCATCTCTGGATCCCGACCTTACCTTTTCCTTTCTAATTTTGAATCTCACCATTTATCTTTTACATTGCTTTTTTCACTACCTAATAGTATTTTTTTCTGATTTACTTTAACATTTTTTTCTTTAATGTTCTTATTTTCCAAGTATTTCACAAAAATTTTTTTCTTGGGTATCTTTTTAGCATCTATTATTTTGCCTCTACAAAGGGTTATCAAGGTTTTAGCTCCAGTTTTAAGTCCTTTGCTTTTATAAAAAGTCCCCTTTGCCTGTTGGGCTAACTTAAACAAATAATTATTTCCTAGTGACTTGTTTTATGTTCTCTGTGGATGCATCACTTGATATTACATTAGACCACAACTGTCCTCAATTTGGGGTCTGTTTTAGTTGACGTTCTATTATCTTGTGGGGGTGTGACTTTGAGCACGTGTCTTAAATCTTTAAGCCTCCATTTTCTCATCTGTAGATTAGGTTATGATTGTTGCAAGTATCAGCTAATGTTTGTGGAAAACCTTCCCTTACAATATAAAAATACAGAATCTGGCATGGTGGTCCACACCTATAACTGCAGCTATTTTTGATGCAAGAAGATCTCAAGTTCAAGGCCAGCCCATGCAAATTTAGTGAGAACCTATCTCAAAAACAAATTGTAACAAAAGGGCTGGGACATACCTCAAGTAATAGAGTACTAGCATGCACAGGCCCTAGGTTCAACCCCCAGTAATGCCAACAAAATAAATAACCCATAAAAATATAGATTCTTTATCGGGCTAGAAATGCTGTGTAACCTCTCACCACCTCCTTAGTTGAATGAGACTCATTATCCCATCACTATTTTCTAATTAGAGTAAATTGCAAAATCCGCTGTTGAATTTTCCTAGCGTGCCAAAGACAAGCAGCTTTCAAATTTAAACCTTGGAGCCTGGCATGGTGATATACACCTGTCATCTCAGCTAAGGCTGAGGCAGAAGGATTGGCAGTTCAAGGCCAGCTTGGGCTACAGAGTGAGACCCTGTCTAAAAATTTAAAAATGAACCATGATAAAACAATACTTATTTAGGGTTGTAAATATAAAGACATCAGAAAGAAAAAAACCCAGAATTGTTCTATAAGATACTTTCAAAAAGAAAGAGCCAGGTGCCAGTGGCTCACGCCTGTAATCCTAATTATTTGGGAGGCTGAGATCAGGAGGACTGAGGGTCAAGGCCAGTTCGAGCTAATAGTTGGAGACCCCATCTCCAAAATAACCAGAGCAAAACAGAGTGGAGATGTGGCTCAAGGGGTAGAGCACCTGCTCTGCAAGCATACAGCCTGAGTTCAAACCCCAGTTCCACCAAAAGAAAGAATTTTTTAAATTATAGTATTACACTAAAAAATCTTTCAGAATATTTACTATGAATGACAGTTATTTCTCCAAGGCAGAGTTTTTTCTTTGCATGTTGTAATTCTTTATAATGAGCATACATCATCTTTACATAAGCACTTAAGTGATGGTATGTGGCAATTTGATCTGTCAGACTACACATGACTGGTTGGTGACACTACAGCTTTGTCACTGAGCTATAGCCAGGTGGCATGGAATAGCCAATTGACAATGCAGAAATTGCTATAGCTCTAAGTCAGTTCTGCTTTGGCTGGTATCAGTGCAGACCCTGGAAGTGTTTCTAATCTAGGAGAATCTACCCACACATTTCTGGGAGAAAAGTTTTTGTAACATGTACTGGCAAGTATTTTTTATGAAATCAGGATTTTTTTTTCATTTATTCTTGACATATATGTACCATTAAAAACCCTCTAAATGTTCTGCTTGTTCCATTTAGCTATAGACAGAGAAGCCAACCTTATGTTGCCCAAAGTCTTACAGTTTTCAGTTTCCTCTCTGTGATTTAGAGTTGGTATTTTGATGGTCCATTTCTCCTTAGCCTTCCAAAAAGATGAACAAAACTGAGTCACTCCTATTGTTATTCTCCTTGTTTCTTACAGATACAGAGAGAGAAAAAGTAACCATACTCCCCAAACCATCTTTTTAAAATCATAGATCTCTTTATTCAATTCTCAGGTGTTTGGATGCTTAAAGATTATTTGGAGACTGCTTTTGGAATCTAAGAGCATGGATCCCAGCAGTGACTACCACTTCCTCAGTCAGATTTTGTGGAGAAGAGTGAAACTCACATTGATTTCTGGCATCTTCGAGGGTGTGCTCCAGCATGTGGATCCTAACAAGATTGTTGTCCTAAAGAAAGGTTTTGTTCCACTTGTCATACTCTTCTGCCTTTTAAGAGATGAGTGACTAAGTGTGACTGATGACTTTGGACTCCATTAGGAACTGGAGTCCTACTGTAAGGAGGAGATCAAAGGATGATTAGAATACCATCTTCCCTGACAGCAGCATGGCTGCCTGTGCTGCTTGGTCCCTAACTCTATACATTTATTGATATGATAGTGGAAATTTTCAATACAGAATGTTTTTAATAGGGTACTTCTTTTAATTTCTCTCCATATGCATCTTGAAGTAAAAAATAGCCCCACTATTAGTTAGAATTATTTTTGGCTCCAACACAAAGGTAGTGAGGGATTAATTTTTCTCATGCAAAAAGAAGTCCTGAGATAGGTTGCTGAGGATTTGTGCATAGCTAAAAGACATCAGCAGAGACCAGGTGCCATGTGCTCCTACTCTGCTACCTCACGGTCATCTGTCATCTCCATGGGTCACAAGATTGTCACCCCATCTCCCAGCTTCAGTTCTGGTTTTTCATAAAGTATAAAACTCAGGAACAGCCAAGTGGAACAGATACCCCCTCTGCTATGCCACCCCAGCATCTCCATGTGTTCACCATCCTGGAAGCTCCAGTAGAGTTTTTGTTCGGCTAGACTATTTATGTCCTAAGATAGCTGTTTTCATTATATAAGTTTCAAGTTAAAGTTGAAACAAACTATAAATGAGATTTCAGAGGTAACTACTATGCCATATTTTGAATTAAAATAGCCTTTCATGGCTAGAATGGGACATCAACAGGCTGTTGCAAATTAATTCACTCAGTAATCATTTATTGATCTTTTATATTGTTTTGGCCAACAATACATATAGGAATAACATGGTTTTAGTTGTCAAAAAACATAGCCTAGAGCTGGCAGAGTGGCTTGAGTGGAAGAGCACCTGCCTAGCAAACACCAGGTCCTCAGTTCAAGCTCCAGTACCGAAAAACAAAAGTTTGTTAAGCCAGGCACAGGTGGCCCACGCCTATAATCCTAGCTACTCAGGAGGCAGAGATCAGGAGGATCGTGGTTCGAAGCCAGCCCAGGCAAATAGTCTTTGAGACCCTATCTCAATAAAATCCTTCACAAAAAAGGGCTGGTGGAGTGCTCAAGTTGTGGGCCCTGAGTTCAAGCCCCAGTACTGAAAAAAAAAGGTTTTTTCTGGAGTTAAGTAGAGTACAAATAAATAAGAATATAATAAATAGTCCTTAGCCTCAAGATCTTAGCATATTCTTGGAAGAATTTTTAATTCAGTGTACTATTGCTGCCTTTTTTACTTTCTTTGGACCATCCTGAGGTTTATTCTGTTCTTTATGCTATTTGTTTCTAAGCTGCAGTTTTCTAATTTATTATTGACTCTTCTTTCTTTGGGAAAAAATAATTTGGGGATTTTAATAAACTTAGAGTGCAGCAATTTTAAGAGGCATCATATTTTCTTAAGAGTTTTAGGAATTACTATTTTTTTTAATTACCCAAATGAATTGTTTTTTTTTTAACAGTGAAGAATGTGGAGACTGGCCGGAGTGCTCCAGGAGTGAAGATGTTTTTTGGGCACGAGATTTTGAATGGTGAGAGTTTTATGTTCCCCGAGTACTGGTATTGGAATTTACAATAGTAAACTTGCTGCCCCGCCCATTGTAGTATTTGAAATAACGTGAAGTACTGTCTTGCCTTTTTATTGTTTGAACCCTCAAAGCTGGTATTTGAGAATTGGTCCTTCTCTTACTGTTTCTGTAGCTATACTAGGAGCCAGACAGACTTACAGAATCAGAATCATTTCAGTTTTACAGTGTGATGTCTGCTGGTGCCCAGTCACTGTCTCAACTAGCAAGCAGAGTCAGCGACCCGAGATGAGGCATTGTCTTCTTCAGTAAGCTAGTTAGACACCATAGGTTCACCATCCACTCTGAAAACTTGGGGCCAAATGTCTCAGAATCCAGAATTGGTTTGCATTTTGAGAAAACAAACAGAGTACATACTGTTCATATTACATAACACCTCAGAGGGTGTGGGTGGCATTCTGTAGTCTAACACACTCCTGTGGAGGACTGAGTAGACAATCATCCTAAGCGGAATAAGCAGGGCTGTAATAGCTGTTCAGGTCAAGGTTTGCCACCAAAAGAGTTACAACCAAATTTTGGTTTTCAGAGCTTTTTGGATTTTGGAATTGCAGAGAGCAGCTTGTTCTTGTCCTGTTAAATAAAGCCATTTAGCAGGAGTAGGTCTGATTGTTTGCTTATAGAGCGGCTATAGAAGATCAGCTGGTCAGTGCCCCTAGACAAGCCAATAGGACGAGAGAAAGGGGTTCTGAGCAAGAAATGGTCCACACTTTTCCCCTTCTGCCAAGGAGAAGTAAAGATCATCGCAGGGCTGAGGGGGCAAGAGGAATGGTAACTGGGAAAGAGAGGGGAGGATGAGAAGAGAAAGGCTCCTGCAAATAAGACTTCACTAATGCTTGAAAGATTGCTTTTCTTTGTGAAAAAAGTAGGATTTAGGAGATGACACTCTCACCAAATTAATGATTGCCAATCCAGAGCTTCAAGTTAGACAAGCCTGCGCAGCTGCTACCTGTCTTTCCTCACTGCGTGTGTTGCCACATGGGCTCTTTGCTCTTGAACATCTTTTGGTTATGGTATTGATGGTGGTGGTAAATGTGGGATTCTTTTTTGTGTGTATGTGTCTGGTTCTGGGGATTGAAAATAAGGTCTCATGCATGCTAGGCACATGCACTACAATTGAGCTACATCCACAGCCTTAACTGTGGTTTGTTCGACTTTTTTGGTTGTTTTGGCAGTACTGAACTACATTCCTAGCTTTGTGCTTTTTAAAAAATTTAATTTTTAATTTTTAATTTTTTTTGCAGGTACTGGGGTTCAATCTCAGGCATTATACCACTCCAACCATGCCTCCAGCCTGTTAACTATGTTTTTCTTGGGGGGAGGCAGGGGGGACTGGGGTTTGAACTCAGGGTTCTACCGCTTGAGTTAACTGTGTTTTAAAAACTAGCCTTTGCATTAAAATAGCGCTTGAGTAGAACAAAGCCAGGCTGTGGGTAGATAGGTAGAGAGAAGTAAAGGAATCACTATTACCATCTCCCTGGCTCCAAAGGAGGCAGACCACCGACCAGCTTTGTGATCTGTAAGGAAGTCATCTTCTAAATTCTTTCCCACGACTTGACCTCTGTTCATAACTGTTAAGCTCAAAGAATGTTCCTTTCCTCTGCCCTGTGGCCCAGTCAGCCATGGGGGGGGTCTCCCCCCAAAATCCACCTTGAATAACAATATCAGCATGGAGGGCAATAATGGCTAGTTGGTTTTTTTTTTTTTTTTTTTTAAGCAAAGTTCACTTTTTTCTGTCCAGATTTAACACCTCTAGATAGTGCAGGGAAAAGACACTGGAAACATAGTGGCCTCCTGGGAGGCTTGCTCCTTGGAAAGTAAAAAGTAATGAGTGTGGGGCTGGAGATGTGGCTTTGTGGTAGAGCCTTTGCCCAGAAGGTGCAAGGCCCTGAGTTTGATTCCCAGCACCACAGGGTGGGGAAAACAAGTACTGAATGTACTTCATTGAAGCTAAGTGTTACTTTTTGCATCCTAAAAAAGAAAACTGCTCATTAAAATGTCACGTGCAGGTGTCCAGTTTTAGAGCTGTTAAAAATCCATATTATCAGTAAGACCCACACCTTTGACTGGGAGTACTCAGTTATGCTGAGCTGTCACGCTCCCCCAGTTCTTCCTTTACTTAAACCTGAAGTTCATTTCTATACCCGAGGATGGACAGAAATGTTTCCCTTCTCTCTTTCTACACATGGCCACATCAGTACATCTTTCTCTGCCCTCAAAAACCCCCTTTTAATCTTAGAATCAATGCAGTACAATATTTCCCTACATTCCTTGCACAATTAGGCTAAAAATAAGTTTCAGCACCTCTGTTTAATGTTTCTCTCATAATTCTTTTGGGTTTTCCACTATACTTTTATGTCACTAAACCATAAATGGGAGAGGTAGAAGTGACAATCTGTGAATGACTTAAGAGAATACCTCAATTTGGGGGGCAAAGTGGGATAAAGAATGATGGAGGGGGTAAATTTAGCTAAGATACATTGTAAGCACTTTTGTAAATGTCACAATGTAACAAAAGACAACAATAATATCATAAAAGTGAAATTAAATTTAAAAAAAAGAAAATAGCTCTGGACTGGAGATGTGATTGAGCATCTGTCTAGCAAGCAGGAAGCCCTGAATTCAAACCCCAGTACCACAAATAAATAAATAAATAAATAAGCAGAAATAGAGAAAACCTCCCAGCAGTATTAGTGTGAGGGAAGGAAGCCTTGGAATTGGGATGAGAAATCTCTAGCATAGTGGGAATGACCACACTGGGGGCAAAAAAGGTAAAAAGAACAAGTAGAAAGTTCCTAATCCTGCTAAGTAGCCAAGAAGCAAGGGAATCTTTGCTTCTTTTCTAGTGATTGCTGGCCAGTGAAAGCGTCTGTGCACTGACAGCTCATCCCTAACACTGTGCAGTCCTAATGTAACTGGCTGTGGGGGCTGGGTATGCGGCTGGGTATGTCGGAGCTTTCCAGTTGGAAACTGTTGGAAGCCATGTGGTTATTTTTCAGTGGAACTACTGGATGACATGGAGCAAGGTGCAGCGGGAGACAAGGCATCTTCTGTGAGGTATGATTTTCCTTAATGAGGTTTTCCAAATGTGACAGCCCACTAGCTGCCTGGTTCCTGAAGTGGCCTACAGAGCTAGAAATGAGAAGGATATGGCAGCGATGTAAGCAGTGGGCGAATGGACCTCCTACTTAATGGAGGACCACAGTCCTTGTTATTAACGACTGTCAAAGTCAGTATATGGCACCAATAACAAGGAACAAGTTCACCTGAGGGTTTTTGGTCTTTTTTTTTGGTAAGGATAGTTTCAGTACTGAAGGAGTCAGGATGGGTAAAATGAAAGATGAGGACCTAAATGTGTGTGAGCCTGCTCCACCTGCACCCGAGGCCCCGACCACCTCTCTGCTGAAGGACCTCAAGTACAGCCCGTCAGGTGAGCACTGGAACTCCCAATTGTCTAGGCTGTCTTTATGGCGGCTCAAAGCCTTCAGAGTCCGCCACACCCTGAATCAAAAGCCTGTGTGGAATGCCCAGCTGAGCGTTAACGTGGGTATCGTGACTCATTTAGTTCGTAAGTGAGTACATAACTATGTGCCCGGGAAGCAGACCCGTGCCACCGCTGCCAGCTTCTTGCTTCACATGGTCTCACTAATTTTTTTTCCTTGAGCTGGCCTAGAGCTAGAATCCTCCCAATCTCCACCTCAAGAAGCTGGGATTACAGGTGTGCACCACCGTACCCAACATGTTTTCTAGATGATTGCCATTGTGACTGGGGTGAGACGGAATCTCAATGTCATTTTGATTTGCATTTCCTTTGTGGCTAACGATGTTGAGCATTTCTTCATGTTTATTGGCCATTTGCATTTCTTTTGAAAACTGGCTATTCATTTCCCGTTTACTAATTGGATTGCTCATTCTTTTGGTGTTTAATTTTTGGAGCCCTTTATGTGTTCTGGATATTAATCCTTTTGCCAATGAATAGCTAGCAAAGATTTTCTACCATTCTGTATGTTGTCTTTTGCTTCTGGTAATTGTTTCCTTTGCTGTGTAGAATATTTTTAATTTATTATAATCCTATTTGCCAATTCTTGCTCTTTTTTTTTTTTTGCAGTGTTGGGTTTTGAACTCAGGGCTTCCTGCTTGCAAGGCAGGTGCTGTACCACTTAAGACATACCCCAGTTTTTGCTCTTATTTCCTGAATAATTGGAATTTTACTCAGAATGGTGTTACCTATGCCTATGTCTTCAAAAGTTTTCCCTTTGTTTCCCTATAGTAGCTTCAAAAGTTTAGGTCTTATATTAAGATCTTTGGTTCATTTTTAACCAATTTTTGTGCAGAGTGAGAGATGGGTATCCACTGTCAGTCTTCTACATGTAGATACCCAGTTTTCCCAATATCAGAGGCTGTCTCTGCTCCAACGTACATTTTTTGGCACTTTTGTCAAAAATAAGATGGCTGTAGCTATATGCATTTGTTTCTGGGTCTTCTATTACATTAATTTATATATCTGCTTTTGTGCCAGTACCATGCTGTTTTTGTTGTTATAGCTCTTTGTATCATTTGAAGTCAGATGTTCTGATACCTCCAACATTTTTCTTTTTGCTTGGGATTGCTTTAGTTATTCGGGGTCTTTGTGCTTTCAAATGAATTGTAGGATTGATTTTTCAAATTATGTGAAAAATGACATGGGAATTTTTGGGGGATTGCATTGAATCTGGTAGTATAGCCATTTTCATAATATAAACTCTGCCAGTCCATGAACATGAAAAGTCTTTCCATATGCTAACGTCTTACTCAGTTTCTTTCTTTAAGGTTTTTTAGTTTTCAATGTAGAGATGTTTGACCTCCTTAGTTTGGTTTATTCCTAGATATTTAAATTTTTATTTATTTTATATTTAAAATTTTTGGTGAGAATCAGCTTTGAACTCAGGGTTTTGTACTTACAAAGTAGGTGCTCTATCGCTTAAGCCACACCACTAGTCCATTTTGCTCTGGTTATTTTGGAGATGGCATCTCATGAACTATTTGCCTAGGCTGGCCTCAATTTACAATCCTCCCAATCTGAGCTTCCCAAGTAGCTAGAATTATAGGCATGAGCCACTGGCGCCTGACTGATACTTGAATTTTTGAGGCTATTATGAATGGGATTGTTTTCTGAATTTTCAGCCTGTTTGTTATTGGTATATAGAAAAATTACTGGGCTGGAGGTGTAGCTCAAGTGGGAGAGTACCTGTCTTGAAAGTGTGAAGCCCTAAATTCAAACCCCAGTCCCACCAAAAAAAAAAAAAATGTCCATTTTGCTCTGGTTATTTGAAGGGGGGGGGGGTCTCACGAACTATTTATTTAGGTTAGCCTCGAGCCTTGATACTCCCAGTCTCAGTCTATCCTTAATAACTAGCCACTGTGCCCAGGAAAAGCTACTGCTTTTTGTATGTTGTTTTTGTTTTGTTTTTGGCAGCACTTGGGTTTGAATTCAGGGCCTCACACCTGCTAGGCAGGTACTGTACCACTTGAGCCACTCCACCACCTCTGTTTGTTGATTTTGTATCCTGCTATTTTGCCACAAGTGTTTATCAGATTTAAGGGTTTTTTGGTGGAGCCTTTGCTTTTTTTTTAAGTATCAGATCATATCATCTGCAGATAGGGTTAATTTGATTTCTTCCTTTCCTACTTGTGTGCCTTTTATTTCTTTCCCTTGCTTTATTGCTCTGGCTAGGAATTCAAGCAGTACATCGAATAAGAGTGGAAAGAGTAAACACCCTTGTCTCATTCCTGACTTTAGAGGAAATGGTTTCAGTTTTTCTCCATTTAGCATGATGCTGACTATAGGTTTATTGTACATAGCCTTTATTATGTTTAGGTACATTCCTTCTGTTCCTTTTTTTTTTTTTTTTTTCACTTTTGGCAGCACTGGGGTTTGAATTCAGGGCCTCACGCTTGTTAGGCAGGCACTCTGTCACTTGAGAAACTCCACCAGCCTCTTCCTAGATTCTTCAGGGCTGTTGTCATGAAGGAGTGTTGAATTTTGTCAAAGGCTTTTTCTGCATCTATTGAGATGATCATGTGATTTTTGTCCTTTATTCTGTTTGTGTTATGTTATGTTTATTGGTTTATATATGTTGAACCATCCTTGCATACCTGGAGTGAAAGCAACTTGATCATGGTGTATGATCTTTTCAATGTGTTGTTGAATTCAGTTTGCACAAATTTTATATTGACAATTTTTACATCTATGTTCATCAGCAAAATTGCTATAAATGATACTTTTTAACTTCAGTTTTCCATCAGATGGTCTTGACCAGAGGAATTACCTGATTTTACATCTGTTTTTCATGTTTTGTTTTGTTTTTGCAGTACTGGGGTTTGAACTCAGGGCCTTGTTCTTACTAGGCAGGCACTACTCTACCACTTGAGCTAAGTCCCCAGGACTTTTTCCATCAGTTATTTTTTTAAGTAGGCTCTGTGTTTCTTTGCCCGGGCTGGCCTAGACTATGATTCTCCTATTTACGCCTCCTGCATAGCTGAGATGACAGGTGTGCACTACCACACCCAGTTATTGGTTGAGATGGGGGTCTTGATAACTTTTTTGCCTAGGCTGTCCTCTAATCATGATCCTCCCAATCTCTGTCTTCTGAGTAGCTGAGATTATAGATGAGAACCAGTGGGTCCAGCCCCTCTGACTTTTGTTTTTTTGTGGGTTTTTTTTGTTTTTGTTTTTGTTTTGTGGTACTACTGGTGTTTGAACTCAGGACCTCATGCCTGCCAGGCAGGCATTCTACCACTTGAGTCACTCTGCCAGCCCTCTCTTGAGTTGGGTATTTTCAAGATAGAGTCTCTCAAACTATTTGCCCAGGCCAGCTTTGGACTGATCTCTGCCTCCTGAGTAGCTAGGATTACAAGTGTGAGCCACCAGCACCCAGCTGACTTCTGTTTTAATGAGATTACTCTGGATTTTGTTTGGGTTCTGAGAGCAGAGCAAGGTTAAGAACAAAACATGGATACCAATTAGGAGGATATTGAAATAATTTTTGTTTGTTTCTGAGACAGTCTTAATTATGTAGCCCAGGCTAGTTTCAAACTGGCAATTCTGCTATAGCCTCTTCCTCCCAAGTGCTGGGATTATAGGCATGCTCCACCACACCCAGCACTATTGAAATAATTTAAGATAAGTTGGTATGGTGTCTTCAACCCTGATGGTGGCAATAGCAGAGGTAAGAAATGTTGGAATTCTGGTTGTATTTGAGAGTGGAGCCCATGAGTTAGGTTGACAGATTAGATGTGGGTGTGAGCAGATAGAGAGCACTCAAGAAAGACTTTAGGGGTTTGCCTGGAGCAACTGGAAGTATGGAGCTGCTGTTATACTAAAATGGGAAAGGCTATTGGTGGAAAGGTTTGGGGAGCTACAGGGGAGTTTTGGTCAACTTAAATTTGAGTAAAAGCCTAGATGTCAGTACTCAGGAGACTAAGGTAGGAGAATCTTGAACTTGAGCCTGGCTTCAAGGGTACATAGTGAGACCCTGCCTCAAAAAAACAGTGGTGAGGCTCTTGTCTACTCTCAGTTAACAAGTAGGAAAGCAGTTAGTATTGACTGTATGAGGGACTGGCACAGTGATAATGAGTATGGCCAAAGCTAGCAGGTGGACTGTGCTATTGGCAAGGGAGAAAAAACTCAATGCCATCCTTCTCTCATAGAGGAAGAGGAGGTGATGTACACAGTCATCGATCAGTTCCAGAAGAAGTTTGGTGCTGCAGTAAGTACTGCCTTTACTCATGCCTGACATTGTCTCTGTCTCTAAGATCTGTGATGTTTTCCATATTAACTCAAAGTATTTTGGGTCTTTGCTATATACTCTAGGCTGTTCTGAGATCTGCAGTATAACAGTAATCAAAAGAAAATTCTAGCCCTTATGGAGCTTATATTCTTTTTTTTTTTTTTTTTTTTGCGGGCCTAGGGTTTGAACTCAGGGCCTTTATCTGAAGCCACTCCTCCAGTCCCTTTTCTGTGAAGGGTATTTTTGAGATAGGGTCTTGTAAACTATGGGGCCGGCTTCGAACCTTGATCCTCCTGATCTCTGCCTCCTGCGTAGCTAGGATTACAGGCATGAGCCACTGGTGCCTGGTCTAGGAGCATACATTCTAATGGAAGACAATAAACAAATAATTGTGTATCAACTGGTAATAGTTGCTGTGAAGAAAAATAAAGCATGGGATGGAGAGTAGAGTGATAGGGAGGTTCTGTTTTATGTGGAACAGACAGAGAAAAGGTCTCTGAAGAGATGATATTGGGTCAGGGACCTAAGGGAAGCTAGCTATGTGGAGATCTAGGCCTTAAGAAAGTAGAATTAGGCAGTACAGAATGGCTGAGGCTGAAGCATTCCTGATTTGTGTGATGGAACAGCAGGGAGGTTAGTGTGCCAGGGTGTCAGTGAAGAAGAGTGGTAGAAAATGGGAGGGGGGAGGCAGAGTAGGGAGGGCTTTCCAGTCATTGTTAGGATTTTCATGTTGGCCAGGTGAGATGAGAAGCTGAGGGAAGAGCCAGTGCAGGTGGCTCAGGCATGTAATCCTAGCCCTGAGCAAATAGTTCTCAAGACCCTGTCCTGAAAATACCAAATACAGAAAACGGCCAGCAGAAACACTCACGTGGTTAAGTGCCTACCTGATAAGTGTGAGGCCCTAAGTTCAAACCCCAGTCCCACAAAAATAAAAAGCCATGGGAAGTTTGAGAAAAGAGTCTTTTTTTCTTTTTCTTTTTTCTCTTTTTTGTGGTACTGGGGTTTAAAGTAAGGGCTTCAAGCTTGCTAGGCAGATACCACACCAGGGCTCTTATTTTATTATATATTTTTTTCAGTACTGGGATTTGAACTCAGGGCCCACACCTTGAACCACTCCACCAGTCCTTTTTTTGTGAAGGGTGTTTTCAAGATAGGGTGTTGCACACTATTTGTCTGGCTTTGAACCACGATCCTCCTGATCTCTGCCTCCAGAATAGCTAGAATTACAGGTGCCCAATTTTATTTTATTATTTTTAAATTTTATTTATTTATTTACTGGTAATACCAGGGTTTGAACTTTACAAGAATTTGCCCTTGAAAGCAGACAGTCTTACTGCTTGAAGCACACCTCCAGTCCATCTTCTCTATTTATTTTACCCAGGCTAGGACCCTTGGAGGCCTTTGATCCTCCCATCTCACCTCCCAATTAGGCTGGAGTACAGGCATGAGCCACCCACACCTGGCTCTTACATTTTAAGTGGACTGTTCTGGATGGTGTATTTAGCTTCTCAACAGTCATACATGAGTTGGAGAAGTGACAGTAACTCTTTAGCCTACAGTGTAGTTCATAGATGGGGTTCAGGAGAGTCAGTGGGCTTTCTGTTGGATGCACGCTTGTATTTCCATGTGCACAGGTACATTAAAATTTTTTTATTGTTTTGAGATTGGGTCCAAACTGCCCAGGATGGTATCGAACTCATGATCTTCCTGCCTCAGCCTCCCAATTAGTGGGGTTACAGAGGTGCACCACAATACCCAGTATAGGTTCATTTTATTTTATTTTTTCCTTTGGATAATCTTTCATTTATTTGGTTTGAGACTTTTCTACTTTTTAAAAAATTTAAGACATGGTCTTGCTTGAAGCTTTGCTGCTCTTGGTTGCACATTAGAACTGGAAACTTTCAGAAAAACAAAAATAAGACAAAAAAAATTCCAATTGCCAGACCCAAAAAATCAGAATCTCTTGGTTTTAGTAGAGGCTATACATCAGTATTTAAAAAGTTCATATGATTTTAGAAAGTGAAATCAGGTTAAGTGCACTGTTATTTCAACTATTTTGATGTTCCAGTTTTATTTATGCATTTTTAAGGGTGAAAAATAAATCACCGTAGTATTTAATTTAGTAGATTTGGTGGGAGGTTGGGAATTTTTTAAATTTTTTTTTTTTTTGTGGCATGGAGTCTAAAGCTTGCTATGCAGATGCTGTTACAGTTTGACGCCACTCCACCAGTCCTTTTTTATCCCTTGTTGTGTTTGCCCTTGATCTAATGTCCACATATGAGGAGAACATACAATTTTGGTCTTTTGGGCCAGGCTAACCTCACTCAGAATGATGTTCTCCAATTCCATCCATTTACCAGCGAATGATAACATTTCATTCTTCTTCATGGCTGCATAAAATTCCATTGTGTATAGATACCACATTTTCTTAATCCATTCGTCGGTGTGGCATCTTGGCTGTTTCCATAACTTGGCTATTGTGAAAAGTGCCAAGTAAACATGGGTGTGCAGGTGCCTCTGGAGTAACCTGTGTCACAGTCTTTTGGGTATATCCCCAAGGTGGTATTGCTGGATCAAATGTAGATCAATGTCTAGCTTTTTAAGTAGCCTCCAAATTTTTTTCCAGAGTGGTTGTACTAGTTTACATTCCCACCAACAGTGTAAGAGGGTTCCTTTTTCCCCCATCCTCGCCAACACCTGTTGGTGGTGTGTGCTGATGATGGCTATTCTAACAGGGTGAGGTGGAATCTTAGTGGTTTTAATTTGCATTTCCTTTATTGCTAGAGATGGTGAGCATTTTTCATGTGTTTTTTGGCCATTTGAATTTCTTCTTTTGAGAAAGTTCTGTTTAGTTCACTTGCCCATTTCTTTATTGGTTCATTAGTTTTGGGAGAATTTAGTTTTTAAGTTCCCTGTATATTCTGGTTATCAGTCCTTTGTCTGATGTATAGTTGGCAAATATTTTCTCCCACTCTGTGGGTGTTCTCTTCAGTTTAGAGACCATTTCTTTTGATGAACAGAAGCTTTTAGCTTTATGAGGTCCTTTATCTATGCTATCTCTTAGTTGCTGTCTGCTGCTGGGGTTTCATGAGAAAGTTCTTACCTATACCTACTAACTCCAGATATTTCCTACTCTTTCTGTATCAATTAGAGTTTGGGGTCTGATATTAAGATCCTTGATCCATTTTGAGTTAATCTTGGTATAGGGTGATATACATGGATCTAGTTTCAGTTTTTGCAGACTGCTAACCAGTTTTCCCAGCAGTTTTTGTTGAAGAGGCTGCTATTTCTCCATCGTATATTTTTAGCTCCTTTGTCAAAACAAGTTGGTTATAGTTGGTGGCTTCATTCTGGGTCCTCTATTCTGTTCCACTGGTCTTCATGTCTGTTTTTGTGCCAGTACCATGCTGTTTTTATTGTTATTGCTTTGTAATATAGTTTGAAGTCAGGTATTGTGATACCTCCAGCGTTGTTCTTTTGACTGAGTATTGCCTTGGCTATTCGTGGCCTCTTGTGTTTCCATATAAATTTCACAGTAGATTTTTCAATCTCTTTAATGAATGTCAATAGGTTCATTTTAAAAGGAGAGTTAGCTTGAAACAGATTGTTTCCTCTCAACATTTTTTTTTCTTTCCCCTTAACACTTTTACTCAGATATATTTCATAGGTCAGGTAATTAACCTATATAATGTATCACTCACCTTTGTCATAGTCACAGAGTGTACTTCCACCATCATAAGGAATTCTAGAACATTTTCAGTACCCCACAGAGAAATCCCACACCTTTTGGTCACCACTCCCAGTCCCTCATAGTGGCTGCAACCACTAATCTGCATGTACAGGTATGCTGGTCAGCACACTTCCTGTGGCTGGGATCATGTGTGGATGGTCTTTTGTGACCTGCTTTCGTTGTTTTCAAGGATCATCTGTAGTGTAGATTGTATCAGTATTTCACTATTGGTTTTTTTGTTGTTGTTTTGTTTTTGATTTTTTGAAACAGGGTCTCACTATGTAGTCCAGACTGGCCTTGAACTCACGATCCTCCTGCCTCAGCCTGCAAAGTGCCAGGATTACAGGTATGCACCACAGCACAAGGCTCTCTGTTGTAGTAATAGACTACATTTTACTTGTTTGTCCATTCCCCATTTGGTGGGCGTTTGAGTTGTCCCTTCTTTTCGGCTATTAAGAGTCCTGCTGGTGTGAACAACCATGTGCAAGTTGTTGTGTGGACCCGTTTTTATTTTGCCTGAGCAGATACCTAGGAGTGAAGTGACTAATGCCTGGGGAGTGGCAAGGCTGTTGGCCAAAGCTGCTGCCCCATTTTACATTCCCACCGGTGTGTGAGGATTCCTTTCCCATGTCCCTGCCAGCATTTGATGCCATCTGTCATTGTGATTACAGCCACCTCTGTGGGAATTAGGGATTTGCTTGCTATGGTTTTGATTGGCATGGCCCCAATGACTAATGATGCAGGGTGTCTTCCTGTGAGCTTAGTGGTCATTCGGGTATCTGTCAAGAAATGTCTAATTGGGTTCTTTGTCTATTTTAAAATTGAGCTGTGATAATTCTTGTTATCTTTGAATTATAAGAATTCTTTATATTTTCACGGATTCTTTTTTTTTTTTTTTTAAGCAGTGCTGGGGTTTGAACTCATGGCCTTAATGATTGCTCGGCAGGTGCTCTTACCACTTGAGCCACTCCACCAACCTCTTTTTTATGATGGGCTTTTCAAGATAAGGTCTCCCTGGGGCTGGCTTTAAACTGCATCCTTCTGATGTCTGCCTCCTGAGTAGCTACGATTACAGGCGTGAGCCATTGTGCCCAGCTTGCAGATTCTTTACATGGTCTGTAACATTTTTTTTTAGATGGGCTAGGAGCTTTTGCTGTAGTTATGTGGAGAGGCAATTGGGAGTTATTACCAGTATGGAAGTCCTGTGTAGCTTTTGATCCCAGTTCTGCAGCCTCTCTGGCTGAAGATGAAACTGAAGCACAATGTCCTTTTCTCATCATCGGTGAGAGGGACTCAGGATGTAGAATGCTTTGTGCTCTTTCACGGAAGATATTGTGCCAGTGTAAGTCACTATGTCCTCCTGTCCTCAAGTAATCCACCCACCAGTAAAACAGAGAGAATCTTATATCAAGTAAGTGTCTTTATAAATTATACATTAAGGATTTTAGAATTTAATTGCCTTGAAATAGGATAAAATTATAGATAATTAAAGGATAAAAGTGTGTTCATGGGATACCACTGTTTCAATTTTGAGTAATTCCTTGAATCCAAGGCTTCAGAGACCCGTTGGATGCTTGCTGTCACCCTGAACATTAGTTACTGTGTCCCCTTAAGATGTAGTAAAGCACTCTGTGTTAGGACATCATAATTTGCATGAGGACTCCTGTCAAAAAGACAGCAGCATTAGTGATGAGTAGAAGCATCTGAAATTTATCTGTTCACACTTGGAGTCTGAACGGCTTCTCTTCCGGAGTGCAGCACTTCTGCTAAAACTGAAAGTGGGTCAGGAGTGTTCGGAGGCAATTTATGATGTATTTGAGCAGACTCCCTTTTGTATGTTGAAAAATACAATCCATTTTGGCAGCCCGGGGGTTTGAACTCAGGACCTCACACTTGCTAGGCAGGCGCTCTACCACATAAGCCACTCTAGCAACCCTTGTCATTTGCAATGTCCATTGTCACCTGGAGCTTCTTCCTTTTCTTACCAGATGCTCCACATCAAGAAGCAGAGTGTCCTGAGCGTGGCCGCAGAAGGAGCTAATGTGTGTCGCCATGGGAAACTTTGTTGGCTTCAGGTATACAATTTAAAACTTTTTATTTTGAAATAATCATGGATTCACTGGTTAGTTTATTTTTGCCTTCTTTGTCTCCTCACTGTCATTGTTCTGTAATTTATTTGGAATGTTCATTCTTCCTGTATTCAATTTAGTCTTTTCAAAAGAAAGACAAGGATGGGATGTGGCTTGCCTAGCATTCTGGAGGTCCTCGGTTCAGTCCCAAGCAAAGAGTGGTGAGATACTCCCTATAGGTTCACCTTTATAGCCATCATTGCTGCTCACAGTCTTCTTATCCAGCTTTGTTCTTTTTTTTTTGCCTTACTGTGATTTGAACTCAGGGTCTCATGCTTGTTAGGCAAGTGCACTGCCAGGCCTTCAGCTCTTTTTGCTTTTTGCATTGTTTTTCAGACAGAGCCTTGCATTTTTGCCCAGACCAGCCTTGGACTTCAGTCCTCCTACCTATGTCTCCTCAGTAGCTGAGATTAAAGATGCCCCCACTCATTTTTTGAGATGGGGTTCTCACTAACTTTTTGACCAGGCTGACTTTGAACCTCAATTCTCCTCATTTCTGCCTCCCAAGTAGTTGGGATTACAGCCATGAACCACCATGCCCAGCCCCAGCTCTGTTCTATCCCCTTAGATGTACAAAGAGTCTTGTCTAGTCTTCTGAGGTGGAAGTTTTGTGTAGTAGGTATCCACCACAACATTTGAGTTTCCTGGACCTGGGAGATGTCAGGTGAGGGCTCTTTTGTATCAAAAGGCTGTAGTGTTCCTTTAATATGCAGAGGGCGAGGATCAAACCCAGCAGAAGCAGTACAGGAGATTAGTCAAGAGAGTGAGCTGCATTCTCAGATTGTGTCTTCCATACTTTGAGTTGGGTCCTCCCTCCACTCACTGACAAAGGGTTTTTGTTGTTGTACTAGGGATTGAACCCAGGACCTCAAACTTGCTAGGCAAGCACCTTCACTTTCCTAGTAGCTTGGATTATAGATGTGCACCATGGTACCTTTTTCTTTTTTCATGGGACCAGGGTTTGAACTCAGAGCTTCACACTTACAAAGTAGGCACTCTACCACTTGAGCCATACCTCTAGTCCATTTTGCTGTGGTTATTTTGGAGGTGGGATCTCAAGGATTATTTGCCCAGGCTGCCCTGGAACCTCAGTCATCCTGATCTCAGCCTCACAAGTAGCTAGGATTACAGGCATCTTCAAACTCATGATCTTCCTGCCCCAGATTCCAACTTCAGGGATTACAGGCCTGTAGCATCACACCCAGGTGACTGCAGAGATTTTTTTGGTCTCTGTAACCACTACTTCCTGAATTAGCTGTAGGATGTCCCCAAATAAGAGAAACTGTGAAGCAGGGGTTGATAAAGGCATACAATGAGCACTCCTTACTCATTTACTGCATGCAGTTTGGATCAAGTGCAGTCAAAAATGATAAATTCCTAAAAATTCTTTCTTTTTCTGAAAAGAAGTTTCAAAAACAAGTTTTAAGTTCCCACATATGCATTCCACAGCTCAGTGGAAGTGAAGTTCTCAGTCAGTCCTGCGCTGTGCTCAGCTGTGTTTAAACCGCTTTGTGATCTGCTGAGTGTTTCCCTGTCCTTAATTTTGTGAAAATCTCCCTACAAAAAGCAAATGGTGCCCAAAAAGCAGATAAGTGAATGTGCTTAACTGAAGTGATAAAGTGAAAATGTGAGCTCTGTTCAAAGGTGGCCTGTCTCTAGTGGAAGTTGGGCAGCATTATAGGAGAAACGAATCCGGCATGCGGGTGCAGCACTGAACTCTGCGCACCCTGAGCGTGTGCAGTTTTTCCTCAACGGTGGTCTCCTTGGAACTACAGACCTGAGAGTACCAAGATCTACATGTTCACTGTGTATTAAAATAAAAAAAAAAATCAAAAGATGGTAAAAGTTTAAGAGAAAAGAAGAATCACCACTCCACTTTCCTCTTTCGGGGTAGTCCTTTTTTCTTTATTTTTGGCAGTTCCAGGGTTTGAACTTAGGACCTCATGCTTGCTAGGTAGGCTCTCTACCACTTTAGCCATTCTGCTAGTCCTTGCACCATTTTTGAGAATCTCCTAATAGGGTTGTTAAAAATTCTTGTAGTACTTTACAAAGCATATAGACAAACATTTCACTTACAGTAGCAACTACTTTTAGCAGGTTGAAATTTTGCTTCTGTTTTCCTGTTTCTAATAAGATTTTTATTGCTCTCTCTTGGTTCACCAGTTTTACAAATTTTCTATTAACTTTCATTAAAATTGTGTGTCTGTTATTCCCTGCTGATGGGCTAGCTCCCCATCTCAAAGCTGTCTAGCAGAGAGCTCCCCCAACTGCTTATCATCTCATTAACATACAAAGGATACTCTGAGATTCTGAGAGTTTTAGAAGCTGGATGTCAGGAGCCCAGGAGGAAGATCAAATATGTATTTCATATGGCTGGGGATATAGCTCAGTGGTCAGTGGTTAAATGTTTGCCTAGCATGCAAGAGGCTGGGTTCAATCCCCAGCACCACAAAAAAAAGCTAATTTCACTGCATCACAACTAGAATGCCATGGGAGAAAACTGGCCAAGCATTAAAGTTGGGACTATCAGCAGTGAAAGTCTAATTCCCCTGAGTATCCTTTTCTTTCTTTTTGAAAATGACAGTGATTGTGTCTTTCATTTAATGTATTCATTCACTTATTGCAGTGCAGGGGATTAAACCCAGGGCTGCACCCATGCTAGACAGGCTGTCTACCACTGAACTATAGCCAAGCTTCATCATGTCTTTCTGTAAAACCTGCGATCATTTAAAACAGTTTTCCCTAAGAATCATTCAATGTTGATTGTTTACTCCACAGTGAAGATGTTAAACAGTTATCCTGTGTCTTGTCCTCTTGATCCTCAGAGCCCCTTCTCCAGTTCTTCCTATTCTATGTCACTGTCTATTGTAGGTGGCCACACATAGCCGCGTTTACTTATTTGACATTTTCTTTCTGGGAAGTCGTGCTTTCAACAATGGACTTCAGATGGTATTAGAAGACAAGAGAATTTTAAAGGTGAGTATGGAAGCCTCTTCCTCAGTGGTAACATGTAGTGTAAGGATGTAATAAGGTCATACAATGTAATGTAGTGACATTGGTGGCCAGGTTCTGATTACTCTCTCCATCTTCTGACTCCTCAGGTTGTCCATGATTGTCGCTGGCTTTCTGATTGCCTTTCTCATCAGTACGGAGTCATGCTAAGCAATGTGTTTGATACACAGGTATATGAGGGGATGCTGGATTCAAACCCGCGCACATAACGCCTGGTAGAAAATAGCACTTTTCTGATAAATGATGAAAGAAAGTCTTTTTGGGGGGCACATCATTCTTCCCACCTCTCATATGAGATATTTGTATGATATGTAAGAATATTTGTTGAGCTATAGAAACACTGCAGAAAAGTTACTTAAAATTATTTTGGAAGCCAGGTGCCAGTGGCTCATACCTGTAATCCTAGCTGTTCAGGAAGCAGAGATCAGGAGGATCACTGTTCAAAGCTAACCTTGAGCAAATAGTTCGGGAGACCCTATCTCAAAAAAAACCAATCATGAATAAAGAAAAGGCTGGCAGAGTGGCTCAAGTGATAGAGCACCTGCCTAGCAAGAGTGAGACCCAGAGTTCAAACCCCAGTGCCGCAAAAAAAAAAAAAAAAAAACTTGGAATATGTTTTCTTCTTTGCTCCAGAATTTGTCAAATAAGAAGCAAGACCTATGCTCCATGGCATTCAGAAACCCGAGCAATTTGAGGTCATTCAGAAGCCTGACCTGGGAGACTTGGTGTGAAATGAACAGTCTCATCTCTGCCTTTACTACTATGTACCTCAAGCATGTAGACTGTTCTGGATGTGCCACCAAAACCTATTCTGGCCAAAATAGCCCAAAGAGATATGATTTAACTCTTATCCAAAGGACAGCAGCGAATGAGAAAGCCCTCATCCACACTAGCGCTTAGAGTTGATGTGGAATTCTCATTGGTCTATGAGAAGGAGAACTCCTAGCTCCCATTAGGGCTTCTTTCTTTTCTTCCTTTAGTGCTGGGGATTGAACCTCAGGCCTTGCACACGCAAAGCCCACACTCTAGCATTGAGCTACCCTCCAACACCTCATTCTGTTTTCTTCAGTTTCTTCTAATCTTTTTAGTTTGTGTCAATGAAAGGGAGATCGTGCATACATAAGCCTGTAGCTTTGGCGTGAATTACACTAATGGGTTGACCAATTATTTTTGAGAAGCAAACCCTGAAAGTTCAATTTCATGTTACTATATGTGGTTCAGTTTTGCTCATTATGAATGTGCTTACAAGTAAACTTAGTGCCATTTCTCGTTTGCTTATTTCTTTGGGCGATCTTTCAGGACCTTTCCACTGTGCAGTACAGATTGTGTCTATACCACGTTTACTCCAAAATGTAAGACAATTGCTCATTATTTCTATGAGACCATCAGGCTTCTTTTTATTTATTTATTTATTTTTTGCAGTGCTGGGGATCAAACCCAGGGTCTTGTGCATGCTAGGCAGGTGCTCTACCACTATGCTATTCCCCAGCCCCATGATTCTTCTTGATTAAAGCTTCATATGTATTTTCTGGTGAAGACTTTGGCATATTTTTCCATGTTTTCTTTTCAGATTCCCACAGTGCAAGAAGCAGGGATTCAGAATTTACTGATTTGTTTTCCTTTAACTCAGAATATTAGTTTCCTGTTGTTCTTGTAAGAAATCACCACAGCTGGGCATGATGGCTCACGCCTATAAACCTAGGTATTCATGAGGCAGATATCAGAAGGATCACAGTTCTAAGCCAGCTCAGGCAAATGGTTTGGGAGACCCTCACTCGAAAAAACCCATCACAAAAATGGGCTAGTGGAGTGGCTTAAGGTGTAGGCCCTGAGGTCAAACCCCAGTACTGCAAAAAGAAAAAAAAAAACTACAAACTTAGTGCCTAACACATTACAAATTTATTCTCAGTTCTAAAGATGAAAAATGTCCAGCAGGGTTGCTTCTGAATGCTCTCAGGGAAAGACTATTCCCTTGCATTTTTTAGCATCTTATGTTACTTGTACACCAGGGCATCAGTGGCTCACACCTATAATCCTAGCTACTAGTACTGGAGAGGCTCAGGAAGAGGATTGTGAGTTGAAGGCCAGCATAGGTTACATAGTGAGTCCCAATTTTAAAAAAAATAGAAAAACAACAACAAACCCAAATCAAAACAAAACAACACTTGTGATTTCATTTAGAACCCAGCCAGATGATACAAGGTGATCTCAAGAGCCTTACCTCACTCACAGTGGCAAAGTCCCTTTTGCTGTCTTACCTAACATTCATAGGTTCCAATGATTGCAACACGGATAGCTTTATGGAGTCATTATTCAGATAAATAATTATTGCAATTTCTTTTTTTTTTTTTTTTGGCAGTGCTGGGGTTTGAATGCTGGGCATGCTTGCTAGTCAGGTGCTCTGCCACTTGAACCACACTGACAGCCCAAAATTCTAAACTTTATGAGTTTTCCTTGCCAAAATTGTACCAGAATTTCTATTATATAATAACAATTTTTTTTTTTATTTTTGGGTTCTGGGGTTTGAACTCAGGGTCTTGCTCTTTCTAGGCAGGCACTCTGCCACCTAAACAATACCCCAGCCTCACATAATAACTGTCCTTGAGCTGGCCAAGGTGGCCCACCAGTTAATCCCAGCACTAGAGAAGCTGAGGTAGGAGGATTGTGAGTTTGAGGCCAACCCGAACTGTACAGCAAGACCTGCCTGGGACTGGAGATGTAGCTCAAGAGGTAGAATGCCTGCTTTGCAAGCATGAAACCCTAAGTTCAAATCCCAGTCCCACCAAAAAAAAAAAAAAAATCCTCAAGACCTGCCTCAAAAAAAAAAAAAAATTCTCGAATGTGTCTTCCTTTCCCCATTCTCCAGAGGCACTCCCATAAGGGAGGCAAGTAAAAGAAATAGAAAAGAAAGTAGACAAGAACAGGATAAGCTTGGGTGAGTTCTTTGATTTCTAAAAAGTTTTTTCTAAATAAATTGAGTGAACATCTTTAAATTTCCTGGTGGCATGGTTTATCTTGTGTGTCCTTGGGGAAAATGGTACTTAAAGATAATTCTCTAAAAATATTTTTGCTCTTTCTCTCATGAGACCATTTTCTGTGCATATTCATTCAACCAGTTAGTCTTTTTTTTTTTTTATAATACTGCAGGTAGCAGATGTCCTTCAATTTTCCATGGAAACAGGTGGCTTTCTTCCAAACTGTATCAGTACTTTGCAGGAGAGTTTAATTAGACACCTTAAGGTCTCCCATAAACATCTCTCCTTTCTAGAAGAGAGACAGAAACTGATTCGGGTAAGTGTTGCAAGATGTCTCATTGAGGATAAGTTTTTCAAGTGTTTTCTGAGCAGGATTGATAGCCTATCAGATAGAGAAATGACAGCTGCCCAAGAAGCACTTGAGCATTGCAGGATCTTAGCTTGTCAGATAGGCAGTTTGTGGTTTCCAGTGGAGTGAAACCAGGATCCAGATTTGTTGGTTAGCAATTGAAAAGTACTCTCAATTAAAATTTCAAGTTGGGACAAGGGAAAAATTTGTGGAATTTGTATTAAGGCAATGGAACCAAAATCATTCTAGTTATTTCTCCCAAAGTAACAAAATTTTCTTTAGTGCCCATATTATTGCATGCAAACTTAGGCCATGACCATATTGTCCACAAATTCAGTCATCTACTGAAGTCTGCTCCCTCCAATGAGAGAGGGATGAATGAGAGAGAAGTCCCGATGGACCAACCTACCTCTCCATTCCTTGTTCTGTCTCACACGCACCTGTGTGTAAGTGTCTGTGCATGTGCACTCACGTGTGTTCAGAAGACTGCTAATAAAGTGAAAGTATCAAACCGCAGGCCCATAAAAGAAACAAAACCAAAACAAAATGTAAGGTGAAAGTAGAAGTAATAGTAGAGGAAAATGACAGTGTTTTAAGCAACTCTTAAACGGTTATTTTCTCTCATGTTTTGCTTATTCATAAAAATTATTTTTGTGTCTCTAGGAAAATCCAGAAGTGTGGTTCGCACGACCTCTTCCACCCTCTTTACTGAAAGTTTTGGCCCTGGAAGCAACCTACCTTCTCCCCCTTCGTTTGGTTCTCCTGGATGAGATGATGTCAGACCTAACCACCCTGGTGGATGGGTACCTGAACACCTATCGAGAAGGGTCTGCAGACCGTCTTGCAGGCACAGAGGTAGGCAACTCTCTGTGGAGTATCTTCAGGACCTTCTTCCTTTTCTGTCTCTTCCTCACAGAGCACGGTGATGCCCACTTTTCACAACCACAAAACTTTCCCAGGCACACTGGTGCTAAATGTCCTTAAAGAGGCCGTGGCTTTGGCCTGATCCATCGCCCTCAGCACCTCTCTTGTTAGGTTTCCAAGAAAGGTTTCTGTCAAAGTACTGGTAAATTTAGGATTGCATTAGTTAGGTCAGGAGTTGGCAGACGGCTGCCTGCAGGCCAGGTCTAGCACACAGAATGCTTTTTTTTTTTTTTTTTTTTTTAAATCTTTTAGCAGCGCTAGGGTTTGAAATCAGGGCCTCCCACTTACTAGGCAGGTGCTCTGACACTTGAGCCTTGAGCACTCTCCAGCCCTTTTTTGCTGTCATTATTTTTCATATATTGTCTTGCACAATTTTACCTAGGGCTGGCCTCAGACTGAGAACCTCCTCCCTATGGCCTCCAGTATAACTGGGATCACAAATACTTACCACCGTTCCCAGATTATTGATTGAGATGGGGTTTTTACCATTCTTATTGGAATGTGGCTGGAAGTGTAGCTCAATGGTAGAGCACTTACCTGTCCTATGTGAGGCCCTGGGTTGCATCCCTAAGACTGGAAAAAAATGGTAGTAGTACAGATAGAGGCTTCTTGACTTACTACAACCTCATGTCCTGATAAATCTGTCATAGCTGAAAATACTGTAAGTCAAAACCCTGCATTTCACTAGTCTAACCTGCCAAATGTCGCTGCTTAGCCTCACGGTGCATTATAGGCTGTGGTGGTTCACCTTCGTGACTGGGTGGCAACCAGGAGCCTTGGCTTATTGCCTCTGCCTGGCATTGCAAGAGCGTTAGGCTGGCTGCTTTTTTGCTACCCAGTATCAAACCATTGTAAGTCAGGGACCGTCTGTGCATGAGACAGAACTTGTGGCTCCCTGGGCTTGTGGAATGGTTCAAGTGGTAGAACACCTGCCTAGTAACCATGAGGCCCTGAGTTCAATCTCCAGTGCTGCCCATAAAATAAATAAAATTAAAACATTCTAAACAAAGTCAAGAGAGGACATTTTCTTAGTATATTTTCTATTTCAGCATTTCTGTAATGACCAAAGACTGGACGTGGTTCAAATATCCACTAATAAGAGTTTGGTTAAGCAAGTTATGGTATTTCTATACAGTCCTTAGAAATACTAATATGTGGCACTCTCCAATATAAACTTTTAGTTAAAAAAATCAAGATGTAAGCAGGGTGTGTTAGCACAGGCCTATAATCCCAGCACATAGGAGACTGAGACAGGAGGATAGCAAGTTGGAGAACAGCCTGGGCTACTTGGCAAGAATTACAGTGCTGATCATTATATAATACAATGCTACTATTTGTGTAGAATGATTTTAGAAACAGGAGTTATCAATATTAAAAGGGGAAAAAATTAAAAATGTAATCCAGGACTGGGACTGTAGCTCAGATGTAGTGCATTTGACTACCAGGTATGAGGCCCTGGGTTGGATCCCCAGCATCACCAAAACACAAAGACTAATCCAATGAAAACATAAACATTTAGGAAGAGCCAGGAGCCAGTGACTCATGCCTGTAATCCTTGCTACTCAGAAGGCAGAGATCAGGAGGATCATGGTTTGAAACCAGCCAGGGCAAATAGTTTGCGACACTCTATCTTGAAAAGCCTATCACAAAAAAAGGGCTGGTGGAATGGCTCAAGATGTAGACCCTGAGTTCAAACCCCAGTACTGCAAGAAAAAAAATCAACATTTAGTAAGGCATATACATATGTACATATGATCCTATAAGCATAGACTATCCTTTAGGTTACATGAGACAACATTTCAGAAGATTCACATGGTAAGGCAGTTGGGGCAATGTTGGGAGACTCACTTTTCCTGTCTTATCTTTACACACACACACACGCACACACACACACAATTATGGTTTCATTGTCTTTTCAAAATACAGTACAGTGATAGTTAAAGTCACTAGAGGGGGCTGGATGAACACATTTGAATCCTGATTGCCTATTATCTTCAGGTGTAATAGAAGTAATTTTAAGCACCACACTCTGAAGGTTGTTTACGGAAAGCTGTGTTCATTTTCTCTTCCTAGCCTACGTGCATGGAGCTTCCAGAGGAACTCCTTCAACTCAAGGACTTCCAGAAGCAGCGCAGAGAGAGAGCTGCAAAAGAATACTCAGTAAATGCACAGGGGCTTCTTGTAAGGAAAGTGCTGCATCCGAGGAAGTCCATGCCACAGGCATCGGGGAAAGAGGAAAATGTCCAAGGCTTCTTATTTTGTAAAAGTTCTAGAGTCAATAAAGCTCCGAGATTTTTATCTCAGGAATTTCATAAGGATGTGAATTTTGTGAAAGAAGAATCCAAATCTCCGTGTCTATGTCCCATCAAGGAAGGAGAAGCCAGGGAGGATACCAGCAACAAATGCATCAGCCCTGAGTCAAAGGGCTCAGGGGACCGGGGAGTAACTCACCTTGTGACACCCAAGCTTGAGTTTCAGGCAAGAAATTCCTTGAAAGACGAGATAGAACAGTTATTAATGGTGGAAAATAAGGAGGCGTTAACGTGCCCAAAACAAGATGTTTCAGGGTCTCCTCTTCCTCAGGAAGTGAGCATGCCACAAAGTGACATCTTTCATTCTTTCAAAAGAGCTATGATTCCCACCCTCCCACCTTGTCCAGCTTTGGAGAAGACAGATTCATGGATAACTCCATCTCTCAATCTGCCATAGGCAAGTGCAAGACCCTGAGTTCAAAGTACTGCAAAAAAAGGAAAACAAAACAAAAAAAAACCACCTTAGGATTTGCAGTTTGTCCTTGAGGCCGCAAAGGTGGCTGGCTCATTTCTCCTGCTATCCAGGGCCTTCCTCAGTGCCTAGGTTTCTCATATTGTAAGTTTGTTTGGTCAGCTCTTGGTCATGGGCTTCTAGGAAGGGTCCATCCTCTTGCTTACTCCTGCATTCCTGATGTTTGGGTAGGATGAGAATGAGTAAGTTAAATAATGCAAGAAGTAAGATTTCTGATTATGTCACTGTATGGAAATGTTCCCAGTGGCCAGAGTAAATTATTTCTCACAATTTAGGTTTAGAAGATTTGAAGAAGGGAAAAAATCTTGGGCTTAGTATCAGGAAGAATCTAATTTTAAGATTTTGTGAGGTTCTCTTAGATTGATTTGAAGGGGTCTGCAAAACTCTTAGTCATAGGTTTAAAAAAAAAGTTGGTATCTGCAAGTCAGATGTGATATGCATTTCTGTAATACCAACGCTGGGCAGGCTAAGGCAGGAGGGTTACAAGTTCGAGATCAGCATGGGCTACATAGCAAGACCCTGTCTCAAACAAAATAAAACAACAACAAACTGTCTAGCAAGCATGAGGCCCTGAGTTCAAACCCCAGTGCCACCAAAACAAACAAACAAAAAACCCCAAATTGGTATGTGCCGATTTCACCTTTTTTCCTTCTTGAACTATTAACTCTGCACTTGAATTTTCAATGTTTGGCCTGTCTTATGTCTAGGCAAAAAATAGGTAATGTTATTGTAAGAATCAACATCTCAATTTTGATTTATTTAATTTACTTTCAGTGAGTTGTGTCCATCACCCTAACAGAGCAGGAGCTCTGGGTTTCTTTTTAGTATGCCTATTATGTAAACTTGAGGCTTAACTCCGTGCTAATTGCACAGAGTTGGTGTACTTTCTTAGGGTGAAAGAAAGGAAGCTGTATTGAGCCTTTTTTATATTGAGTATTTGTGAGCTGTTCACGATTTTTTGAGTGTGAAATAACCAATAAACCTGTTTTGGTATTAGGTTATCTGTCACTTCTCTTAATTGGATAAGGGTGTGAAGAATATGTCTGGATTTATAGGTCTAGAGTCTAATTTAGAAATCTATATTCTAGTCAAATGTGACTACATATCTGTAATCACAGCTCTGAGCTGAGGCAGGAGGATGAAGAGTTTGAAGCCAAGCAGGTGCCTGTGACTCACACCTGTAATACTAGATACTTAGGAGGCTGAGATCAGGAGGATTGCAGTTCAAGGCCAGCCTTGAATCAAATAGTTCACCAGACCCTTTCTCCAAAATAACCAGAACAAAATGGACTGGAGGTGTGGCTCAAGCAGTAGAGTACCTGCTTTGCAAGTACAAAGCCCTGAATTTAAACCCCAGCCCCACCAAAAGAAAAAAGTTTGAGGCCAGCCTGAACTATATAATGAGACCCTGTCTTGAAAGAAGAAAGGAAGGGTGGGAAGGGAAGGGAGGGGAGGCATGGGGAGAGAAGAGAAGGAAGGAAACTATCTTTTGCCTTGGTTATAGGTTATATTTCTTATTGCTCCTCGGGGAAATTTAGGAACACTCTAAAATCAGAAATAGTCTCGTCTGCACTAATTCTTTTATGAGTGCCACTGAAGGAATTGCTGTGCCCTCCTAAACTCTAGAACCAGATCTGAGATTACGTTTAAGGCAGGCCCAACAGCAGGTGGCTTGTCTCATTGTCTCACCTTGTCCTTACTTTAGAAAGTCATGAGGCCAACATGGTCCCTGGCTCATCTTGGATGAATGTATCTTCAGGTTGAGCTCAAAATATGGTTACTCTAGGTTTACTCTAGAAAAATCTAGGTTTACTCACACTTTTCCTAGAGTGAATTCCTGTGAAATTCCTGGAATTGATGTATCTTCTTATGGAATCATTAAGTTACCACTCACTACACATGCACACACGTGTGTATGTAGTATGCATGTGTACATACGTGTGTATATATACACACATGCTGCAAAATAAAATACAGTAGTCTTCATATTAAAAAAAAAAAAAAAAAGGATTTTCCTTTCACTCTGTAGTTTCCTGATTGACCGCTTTGACCTTTGGTCCACTGTTCAATATGTAGCCATCAGCTATATATAGCTATTTCATTTTATTTATCGTTTTTTTTTTCTGGTGTTGTGATCGAACCCAGGGCCTTGTGCATGCTATGCAAATGCTCTACCACTAAGCTACATCCTCAGCCTGTAGTGATTTGATTTTAAAGTTAATTAAGGGCTGAGAGTGTGGCTCAAGTGGTAGAGCACCTGCCTAGCAAGTCTGAACACAGAGTTCAAACTCCAGTACTGAAAAAACTCCAGTACTGAAAAAAAAAGCTCCAGTACTAAAAAAAAAAGCTAAACTTAAATTAATTAAAACAAACAAAAAAAAATCCCACTCCTTAGTTGGACTTGCCACATTTCTAGTACTCAATAAATAGCACAGGTGGAGAACACGGCTGTCATTCCAGAAAGTTCCAGACAGTGAATTTGAAAGGTACTTTGACTCCCAAAATTAAATGGGCTTTTTGGATTTCACTACAGTATTTTCTCAGTGAGACATTCACATGCTCAATCTTCATTCTAGCCTAGCGTGCCTTCTATATCCCATGTATGTATTTACAGCCTGCCACAAGTTCTGTTTTTGCTAGACAGAATGTAAATACTCCCTCAGGGCTTTGCCATTGCTCAGAGTTCTTGGACAACCATAGGTTCTTGTTTCAACCCCTTGTTGATGGATTTTTTTTTTTTTTTTTTTTTTTTTTGTCATACTGGAGTTTGAACTCAGGGGCTCATGCTTGCTAAGCAGGCACTCTACCATTTGAGCCATTCTGCCAGCCCCTTTTTTCAGATTGGGTATTTTCAAGATAAGGTCTCACTAATTATTTGGCTGGGGCTGACTTCACACCACTATCCTCCTGATCTCTGCCTCCTGAGTAGCTAGGATTACAGATGTAAGCCACAGCGCCCAGCATAACCCCTTGTTGAATTCTTTGTATTTTCCCAGTAGAGAGGTCATAAACTAGGCTGCCTGGTTTCCCAAATTCTTGGTGTCTTGCTACAGTCTCCCACTAATTTCTGTGTCTCCCCCACTCAGATGGCCTTTCTGTACTTGCCCTACAATTTCAGACTCCTAAATCATCTGAATCTTTGTTTTGGAATTAGGAAATGAGGTTAAATGACATTCCTGAACAAAAATGCAGAAGTGAGACTAGAAGGAATGCTTCTTGGCTTCTTGGTCCATTCAGTGTTCTTTCAAGTACAGCATGACAACACACTGCAGCAGCTTCACCTCCTGTCTCCCTCTGGGTTTAACAAATACTAACTTGACAACAGCAAGGTAATAGGGTTTCCATTACCGTGTACTAACCCCCTTGTAGTTCAGACAGGTACACTTGGCGGAAAGGTATTAATTATAAAAGTAATACAACCTGAGTACTGGAGGTTCATGCCTGTAATCCTAGCTACTTGGGAGGCTGAGATGAGATCAGGAGGATCTGGGTTCAAGGCCAGCCTGGGCAAATAGTTCTTGAGACCCCCATCTCTAAAATAATCAGTACAAAATATACTAGAAGTGAGGCTCAAGTGGTTGAGTGCCTGCTTTGTAAGCATGAAGCCTTGAATTCAAACCCCAGGCAACCCAAAAAATAAAAATTTTTGGAAAAGACCATATTATTAATAGGTTGAGAATAAGGAAAGGATGTCTACTTTCATTCTACTGGTACTAGTTACTACCACTGTACTTGGGTACTTGGGTAATAAAACACAAAAAATAAAAAGCATGTAGATTAGGAAGAAAAGTTAAATTGTGTTTGAGATGACATGATCACGTGCATTTAAAATCCATGCAATTTACACAGAAGCTACTAGAGGGCCAGGAATGGTGCTGTACACCTATAAATGAAGCTACTCAGGAGGCAGAAACAAGAGGATCACGGTTTGAGACCACCCTGGGCAAAAGCTAGTGAGACACTGTATGGAGGTGGTGGTGCACCCATGCCTGCAATAGATAGGGGGAGGGGGGAGAAAGAGAGAGAGAATTTTAAAAAGACCTAAATATGTCATGGAAGACTAGTTGTTAAGATGCTAGTACTTCCCATCAAATCAAAATTCAAGCAGGGTTTTATGTAGAAAATAAGACAATTTAGAAAAGGAAAACTAAAGTTGGATGATTTTATACTACCAGACTTTAAGACTTTCCTATAAAGGAACAATAACCAGGCAGTGTGGCAGGGCTGGGGATGTAGCTTAGTGATAAAGTACTTGCCCAGCAGGTGCCAAGTTTGAGCGTCAGCACCAGTGAGGGAAAGTTGGTTCCTAACCATCTCCTTCCCTACCTCCCTAGGCTTCTTTTCTTTCTTTTTATTTTTGGGTGGGACTGGGATTTGAGTTTGCAAAGCAGACACGCTCACAAAGCAGGTGCTCAACTGCTTGAACCTCACCTCCAGTCCATTCTGCTCTAGTTTTTGGAAATGGGGTCTCACTGTTCACCCAGGCCAACCTGGACTCCAATTCTATTCTAAGCTTCTCGCTACTGTGTGCACCACCACACCGTTTTTTCCTTTGAGGTGGGGGTCTTGAAAACATTTTGCCCTGGCTGGCTTTGAACCAAGATCCTCCCAATCTCAGCCTCCTGAGTAGTTGGGATTACAGGCTTGAGGCACTGATGTTCAGTTTGTTGGTATCTACTTTTAATACTTAAAATCCCTTCTTCTTTTCCCCCCATAAACTACAGTAAAAAGTGATGGATGTGTAACAGTCGATGAAAGGCTTTTGATTCTACGTAAACCAGAGGCCACAAGTATATGGCTCTCTCCATGTCACACCAACAGTCTCTGATTTCTAGGAGACACAAATTCCCCAAACTGCATTCTTGTTTATAACTTGAAAGCCACCTGGTGGCTAACTACTGAATAATTTAATGAGAACTTTGTAA